CTACACCCAATCACAGACTTTAAATTATTGAAAAGAAAATTGTACTGTGGAGTTGGGGACTTAGGCTCTGGCAAGTGTATCTGTATTGTAAAGAATTACAAACTGCTTTCCTGGCCATCAGGACACAGGCTCAGGAAGTAATTAGACATCACCTGGTGTCTGGGAATTTTTTAGTATTACATTAAAATATATCACCCAGCACAATTGGATTCAATAATACTGATGACTACTTTGCATTTAATCATGTAAACTAAATCTTATTGATTAATAATTCTTATTTACACTTTTTTATAATTCATTTTGGTATGGTTTCAGTTTCCCTCAGCCATGTAGTACATGGTAAAATTTGCCTATAATGACAGAATGACAAAAAATGACATTTCATCTATGGCACTACCTTTGCAAGTTGATAGTACGAAAGTTATGCAATACTTAATACTTTGGTATATTTTTATAGGAAAATATAATAGCACAATAATAATCAAAGAGAAAACTGCACTCACTAATACATAAAATAATCTGGTAGGCAAACATTGTCTTCATCACATTATGCACGGCAAGATAGAGCTGAAACTCGGCATCATCAAGTGTACTTGGGCTATGAGTGGTGCTTTCCACAATCTTTCCTTCATATGTGGCATTACCGTTTGTATCTGCTGATTATTTCTTGTATTAATGACTTCAACTTTTAGTTCCCTACAAGACTATCATCTTCAACTGTGCATCTACACCATAAAGATTAACCAGAATAATAATTGCAAAATTGGATGGCTGCATGACACAAAAAAATTACCTAAATTCTTTCCATTTCTTTAAAAAATATTTCAGCAAGGCATTTGAATAACTATCCACAACTATCACACATTAAGCCAGTGGTTCCCAACCTTTTTTTCAGGCAACCCCAATCAGGTACCTCCAGACATGACTGCCACCTGAATCTGTTCTACAATGTATAGGCTTACGGGTATCCAACTCACCTTTTGGTAATATCCACGGAAATTCACAAGTTCCAGACCAACCAAAAATGTACTGACCAATAAACCAACCTAATCTACCAATTTCAGCTGCCATGATTTGGTGCCCTTAAGGGGATCGTCGCGACGAAAATTTTCAAAAATACTTGAAAAATTGAAAAAATCTCCTGTAATCTATTGGGCTTTTGCAATCTTGTGACGTAATATTTTTGCTAAATATGTAAAATTAAAGGAGTTATAATTAAATCTCTGACCCCCCCACCCCCGCTCCGATGTTTCCATTGTTGCGTCCGGGAAAATTTACTCGACAAAACTTTTTTTTCGTATTTTGGCATTAACTGGTAGCTAGCTGGCAACTCTGTTTAACCATCAGCTGATTGCCAAGACTGGGGCTCTAGAAGACAAAACTCCACCAGAAAATCAGAGAGAAAGGTTGCCAGCTCCTACCTCCATGACACCATATCGCAGACGTATGGCCTCATCAAATAGTAAGGGTACACTACTAATTGTAGATGGTAGTTTGGTATATAATAAACGTAATATGATAGGAAATACTTCTAAATCACAGCTGCAGCAGTTGTTTATACATTTAAATACCTCATGTGGTCAGGTTAGGCACTACAAAGCATGTGGTGAAATGGGTATTTCTACAATCATTTGCAGTTATTGCCATTAGTACTTTGCAAAAGGGGGGGACCATGTACCAGCTACACTTCAGAATACCATGTAAATGCAACAGAATGCAGCAAGATTGCCACAGAGATTAGAATTCTATTTTTTTTTTTTTTTTTTTTTTGTAAAATTCATCCTTAAGTACTTGGGTGATTCTAATGGGGTTTGGATCGTTTAAAAGCTGAATATATTTGTGATGGTTTTCTTAGAGAAAATTTTCATTTTAGGTAATAGTAGTCTATATAGCATATCGTGATGTTCATAAGACTGGGCATTTAGAAAAAAATAAATTCCCACTAATCTAAAACAAAATTTAAGACTCTGGTCTTTGCAAATTTTAGGTATTGCTATAGACTATAGGTGGTAATTTTTTCAACAAGTTTGTTCAATGGATAAGTGCGATTTTAAAGAGGCTGTGATTGTTCAAAAACTTGTTTTATGTTAATAACTTTATTATGTATTAGCTAAATGATACGACACTTGGTGGTATTTATCACTTTATATTTATGTATAACATATTAAAAAATCACAAATATCCGATCATAACTGACGAACTTTGTACTCGAGCGTGACGGCCCCCTTAAGGCACTGCCCAAGGGGAGGGTTCATGAGGGGCTCTGCCCCCAGGAAATATTCTCTTCACCCTTGGTATGAACAGCAAGATAGAGCTGTGTTCACAATGTAAAAAATAAACCAAATACTTTCAAACTTTCGTTCACTTTTTTTTTTTTTTTTTATCACTTTCTTCTGCATTTGGGACTCTTGATGGGCTCAGATATCAAACTGGGATGTTAACTAGTCTATTTCTTCTTTGATGCCACAGTATAGTCTTAAGAACAACCCAGAATCAACACAATACAGGAAACCCAACATTCCTCACTGGTCTTCTATCACAGAATGGCCTGTGAACTGTCAAACCTCATGGATGGCAACTGAAAGTCTGAAGCACATAATGCGCAGATCATTCTAGAGAATTGTGTAGATAAATCTTAAAGCACGTAAATGATGTATTATAACATTAATAATACACCTTAAAAGTATAAATGTGTAACAGGAGACACTGATAATTAGCAAAATATAATTCTGAAAAGTGTGTACTAACATATGAACTACTTGGAATATTGCAGTAATGAGTTATGCAGTCAGTGTTTTATTTTTCCTGGCAAGGTAAACAAGCTAAGCAACTTAGACTGAGCGGTGATATGCAGGGGATATTTTCGTCATTTAGCGGAGAATAATAGACCACTGCAGCTTAAACTATGTTGTTTCTGACTCTATTCCTTACGCTCTATAAGATGTCAGTGTACACTTCCTTTTGTATCCATGCATCTCTATAAGTAACCAAAAAATTACCAATACTGTGGGTTATTTATATCATTGGTTTTGCAACTTCCTTTTCCTCATTATGTATTTTGGTAATTGTTACAGGGAGCGACACACCCTCCCAGTTGAAAAAAATTGTTTTTTTTCTGCAGAAAATCCAACGATTTCATCGATTTTCGGCATTGTTTCTTCAGCAAATGAATCGTTTAAGAGATCGAGTACCATTTCTCCATCGGCGATCTTGATTTGAAAGTCCAGTTAGCAGGGGAGGCATGAAGTATATCAGGGAAATTATGGAGTAAAACAAGCTTAAATAAGAAGACTTAAGATCAAAAACGCATAAAACTAGCACAAAAAACGCTTAAAATCAGCCAATGAAACTCTACAGATGTAACTGCCATCTTTGAAATTATATGGGCTAACATGCACTAGGCGTGCTCTTCGAGCACTACCCGAGGGGAGGGTTGATGGGGGGCAGAGCCCCCCAACACTCCCCATGGACACATTCTCACCACCTTGGTATATACGGCAAGATAGACTTGCATTCACACCGCAAAATGATAAACCAAATACCTTTATATCTGCAACTGTCAAACTTTCGTTCGCTTCCTTCTATCATCTGGATTGCTTTGATTTTAATCACTTTTTTAAGCATTTGAAGCTCTTGGTGGACACATATATTAAACTGGGATCTTTTCTGAAATCTAACTTATCTTCTTTGTCACTGTATAGTCTTAAGAATAACCCAGAATGAACACAACACTGCAAACGCAACATTTCTTACCGGTGTTCCATCTTGAAATGAGCAGGCCGGCAGCTGTAAAGCTGGCAGCAGGCGAAAAAAAGTGTAAAATGCAGAATGCGCAGGAATCTAAATAAGGCTACAAATCAATCTTAACCCACTAACGACGGGTATTCCACATATGAGACACCCGAAAAAATAAACATTGCTGGGCGTCCCGCCAGTGTGATGCTGTATCAGGGCTCGCGCTCCACCGCAGCAGCAGTTATATTTTCATCATTTAGCGGTGACTATAAGGCTGCTGTAGCTTAAACTATGTTCTTTCCCACTCTATTTCTTCCACTCTATTAGATGGCAGTGTCCATTTATAACTAACTATGTGCATCGGTCTCTGTAACTTCTACATGTAGTTTTAATAATTATACCTCAATCAAAAATGAAAGATAAAAAAATCACAATACTTTATAATATAAAGAAATACATCAACTAACTACATTTGCTTACTTGAAAACATCATGTGTCGGAAAAATACTCTACAAATTCTTTTGAAGATTCATATTTAACAACAAACAAAAGTAGTGCATTATCTAAAATCATCTACAGACATCATCATAAGTCATTACAGAACAATCCATAAATGAAAGACAAATGCACATTTCCAATTATACAAAAATTCCACTTTCAGAAAACAAGTGTACTTTCTCAAACATGCCTTTGAAATTGTGGTGTTTTCTCTCTTCACTCTCAAATCTCAACTGATCTTTAATCATTCCCGGTGGAAACCTAAACGAATTTCGAATATGTTGGGAAAATGAAATAAAAAAAGGGAAAGTATTGCACGATTTGTACCTAAAAAAGGGGGAAAAAATGTCTTTACGAATCAAACATCTTACGTCACGTAAGGTCATAATACTTATGATAATGATTTAGCAAGCCATGAGGCAATAATAGAATGTAAAATCGATAAGACCGGCTATAATACATTAACTATAAGACATAATCACTTTCAACCAATCTCAAGAAATAATAAGAAATGATCTCAATTCTCGGCCCATCCCAAGGCCTCCTTCTGCCTCTCTCTCTCTCTCTCCCTGTTTTCCTCCTTCTTTCATTCACCTCATTTGTCCAACATAACCACTATATATTCCTTACTCCCTTCCGAGGTCAATGGACCAAAAATCAGCCTCGTTTTGCAGTAGTGAGGGTGAAAATTTCAAAATATGTGGATTGGGGGTTGGGATGTTGTCACTGTCTTCCTCGACCTGAGATGTTGCCGGTCAAAACACAGGCCCAGACCTTTCTAAGGGATCACTATACGAATTTTTAAAGTTTGATTTCTCTTCATCTCTCTTTTTTTCTTTTTCTATTTTTTCTTCAAGTGTGAAGGGATTATCATATTTTGAAACAGATATAACAGGATCATTTCATTATGGCTGTAGCTCATTTTGGGGAAAATTATTAGGATCACCATATTCTTTTCTTCTCTTTTGCCTAATCTTCAAAATCTGGTGAAAATGTAAAGGGGTTAATGTCTTTAAGGAGCACTATATTTTGGTGTATATGTAATACATTCTGAGGCAGTGTAATGGGATTACCGAAAAAATCTCTCTATCTGTTTTCAAATTCCTTGTGCAAACATACAGAGATTGCTAAATTTTTTTATATGTTACGGAATTACTAGATTTTAGTGTAAATGTAACGCATTCCGCGACAATGTAATGGAATCATTAAGCGGATTTATAATTATCATCTCTTTTGTCTTCTTCAAATTTTGGTGTAAATGTAAAGGGATCACTTATTGGAAATGTAACAGAATTATTAGATTTTTTATGCCATGCAACAAACTTTGATGTCATATAATATCTTTTACTGTTCTTTTTCTTCTTCTTTTTGTCTAAATAGCAATTGGATTCTCTGTGTTTAACGTCTTTCGGGAGATAGATCTATAACAAATTGCAATCCTACTTTTTTCTATTTTCTGTCTGTCTGTCTCGATTTCTGTCTCTCTCTCTCTCTCTCTCTCTCTCTCTCTCTCTCTCTCTCTTCTCTCTCTCTCTCTCTCTCTCTCTCTCTCTCTCTCTCTCTCTCTCTCTCTCTCTCTCTCTCTCTCTTCTCTCTATCTATCTATCTATCTCTCTCTCTCTCTCTATCTCTTCAGTATCTCTTTTTCAGTCTGTCTCTCTCTCTTTTCTCTCTCTCTCTTCTCTCTNGCGGCGCTCCGGGCTTTGCAAGGCACGAGAAGGGGCTGGGGGAGGGGGAGGGGAGGGGGCGTTCATGCGACTTCGAAGGTTCGGGAGGGAGGGAGAGGAGGGGGAAGGGGCGGGGGGAGGGAGGGAGGGGAGGGGGGCGTTCGTGCCACGTCGGAAGGGGCGGTGGGGGGGAGAGGGAGGGGGAAGGGGCGGAGGGAGGGAGGGGAAGGGGGGTGTTCGTGCGACTTTCGGAAGGGGCGGTGGGGGAGGAGGGGAAGGGGTGGTGGGGGGAGAGGGAGGGGGAGGGGGCGTTCAGCGACTTCGGGAAGGGGCGGGAGGGAGGGGGGAGGGAGGGGAGGGGGCGTTCGTGGACTTCGGAAGGGGCGGTGGGGGAGGAGGGGAGGGGGAAGGGGGCGAGGGAGAGAGGGGGGCGTTCGTGCGACGTCGGAAGAGGAAGGGAGGGGGGAGGGAAGGGAGGAGGGGAAGAGGAAAGGAGGAGGAGGAAGGAAGGAGGAAGAGGGAGAGAGGAGGGAGGGGGGAAGAGGGGAAGGGAGGGGAAGGTGGGCGGGGTGGCGTGCGCTGCAACGTCGCTCGGTGCTCTTAATAGGGCGCGATTACCATTATTCTTCCGTTCATTTGCATTATTCAATTCTTCATTTACATGGCAAGGAAAGTGCGTCGTGGATTAGTTGTTTTTTTCTAGTGAATGCGTGAGGGTTGTAATTGCTGTAGTTGTAATGATGCGATGGTTATTGTTGTTATTTATTTTCGTCTTTTTTTTTTTCTCTTCCCAATTACTATCAAAATGGTAATTATTCTGAGGGTGTCTCACTTTATCTGTCTGTCTCTCTCATTCTCTCTACTCTCTCTCTCTCTCTCTCTCTCTCTCTCTCTCTCTCTCTCTCTCTCTCTCTCTCTCTCTCTCCTCTCTCATCTCTCTCTCCTTTTTCTCTCTCTCTGTCTTTCCTTATTCTCTCTTATCTATCTCGTTATCTTTCTCTATTTCTCTCTTTATCTTACTCTCTCTTCTCTCTCTCTCTCTCTCTCTCTCTCTCTCTCTCTCTTCTCTCTCTCTTCTCTCTCCTCTCTCCTCTCTCTCTCTCTCTCTCTCTCTCTCTCTCTCTCTCCTCTTTCCTCTTTCCCCTCCCCCCTCTCCTCCCTCCCTCCCTCCCTCCCTCCTTCCGTCCCTCTTTCCTTTCCTCCCTCCTTCCCTTCCTCCTCCCTCCTTTCCTCCCTCCTCCTTCCCTCCCTCCCTCCTTCCCTCCCCTCCCTTCCTCCTTCCCTCTTCCCTCCCTTCCTCCCCTCCTTCCCTCCCCCCCTCCCTCCCCTCCCCTCCTCCCCTTCCCAAGCGCCTGAAAATAGTCAATTAAGTGTGTTGACTGTCGAGGTCAAAAGTTCACGCGAGAGGAGATCCTCGTGACACCTTGAGGCTCTGTGGCGAGACACACACGAGTCCTTGTCTCTGGACCCGCTCGTGAGGGTGGGTGGGGGAGGGGGGGTCAGGGGGTGAGGGTGTCAACAACGGTGGTGCTGCTTCGGGATTTTTGCTTTTTTTTGTTTTGTATTCTTCGCCTTTTTACTGGTTTAGTTTTCTGTTTTTTTGTTTGTTTTAGTTGTATTCTAGTCTGTTTCTCTCTTTTTGTTCTTTCTTTTTCTTTTTTTCTGTTTTTTCCCATATTACTTTCTTCTGATTATCTCCTCATCTCCTTTTTTCTTTCTGATTCTCTCCTTCCCTCCTTCCTTTTTTTCTCTTTTGTTATTTCTCCGCTTCGTCTTCCACCTCCTTCCTCTTCCTTCCGTCTGATCCTCACCTTTCTTTTTTCCCTTTCTTTCTCGATTTTCTCCCTCCCTCCTCCTCACCTCCTGCCTTTTCTCTCACTCTCCTTCTTGCTTTTCTCTCCTCCCTCCTCCTCCTCATCTTCCTTCTGATTCTCTCCTCCTTTCTTTCTCACTCTTCATCTTCCTTCCTTCATTCTCTCTCCTCTCTCCTCCTTCTTTCTGACCTCCCTTCTTATCTCCCTTTCTCTTCCCCTCCCCTCCTCTCCTCTCCATTCTCCTCCACCTCCCTCCCCCTCCTCTCCTTCTCCCCTCCACCCCCTCCATTCTCCCTCCCCACCCCCTCCATTCTCCCTCTCCCTCCACTCCCTCTCCACCCCTTCCATCTCCCTCCTCCATTCTCCCCTCCACTCCCCTCCATTCTCTCCCCTCCACCCCCCCCTCCATTCTCCCCCTCCACCCCCCTCCATTCCCTCTCCACCCCTCCCCCCTCCCTCACCACCTCTTCTCCTCTCTCCACCCCCCCCCTCCATCCCCCCTTCCCCCCCTCCCTCCCCGTCCCTTCCCTCCCCATCCACCCTCCACCCCCCCCTCTGTCGTCGTCCCTTGACCCCGCGCGAAGGGAGTAAACATCCCGAGAAAAAAGCTATTCTTAGAAGACGTATGCGTAAGATGCGGCTTTCCACGCGTGACTGAAGCCGTGTTACGTGTGGCACTTGACCGGCACTCGCGCGGGTTCTTGAGGGACGGACGGGAGCTGGGTTGTCGTTTTGCAATCGGCGGAGAGTTGCGCGGGTTTGGGAGAAGTGGTATGGGTGCGGGAGGGGGAGGGGAGGTTGAGAGGTGGGAGGGGAAGGGTTGGGAAGTTAGGGGGGAGGGGAAGGGAAGTGTGGGGGTGGTGAAGGAGGATAGGGAGGAAAGGGGGCTAGGGAGGCTGAAAGGGGGTGGGAGTGGTGAAGGGGGTGGAGAGTGAGTGGGAAGGAGTTGTGTGTACCAGGGAAAGAGGAGTGGGCGATGGAAAGAGAGTGGGGAAGGAAGAGGTTGGTGTAGTCATGGGCAATGGATATTGGATGAGGTTCGCGAGGGAGCGAGGGAGGAGTAAGAAAACCAAAATTAGGGGCCCGGCCGGTATAGCCGTACGGGCGGTCGCGCACGGGCGGGCACGGGCAATGAATGGGCGAGAGAGAGGAGAGTGAATGGTTTACCGTATCCTTAGCAGCGGCAAAGAGGGGAAGGAGGAGGGACCGTGGCGTGGGGACTTTTTTTTTTTTTTTTTTTTTGCCGGAAATTGTGAGAAGGGCAGGAGCGGGGAATAACAGTTTTATTTAAAGAAGAGAGAGAGAGAGAGAGAGGAGAAGAGAGAGAAGAGAGAGAGAGAAGAGAGAGAGGAGAGAGAGAGAGAGAGAGAGAGAGAGAGAGAGGAAGAAAGGAAGGGAAGGAGGGGAGGAAGAGGAGAGAGAGGAGAGGGAAGAGAGAGAAAGAGAGAGAGAGAGAGAGAGAGAGAGAGAGAGAGAGAGAGAGAGAGAGAGAGAGAGAGAGAAGAGAGAGAGAAGAGAAGAAAGAGAGAGAGAGAGAGAGAGAGAGAGAGAGAGTTCGATCGCTAGCTTCAGGTGGGGATTGATTTGCTTTGGTCGAGGTTGAAAAAATAAAAGAAAAAGTCGACGGGGATTTGTTTGTTTCTTTTTTGGCTATTTCTTCGTATATATTTCAGGGATGTTTGTCATCTTCGCGTATTCTAAAAATGAAGACATTGGTTGGTACCGTTATTAAGATTTTACTGATTATATCATTAATACGAGCTCGTGGATGCCATTGATAATCGGTTGTTTTAATTACATGTGATTATTTTATTACACGTATCTCCTTCGGATATTATTATTATCGCTTGTTGCCTTTCCTTTTGTCGTCGTTATCAAGCCTTATGTAACGAGTGAGGCGAAAGGGTTAATTCTCTCTATGTAAACACTTTCTCTCTGTCGCGTGTGAGTTATCCGGGTGCCATTCCTCCCTCCTTTTATGAGTGGATTTTCGTGCGTCCCTCATTCTCTCGCCTCCGCCGCGTCGTCGTGAGGGAGGGTCGGAAAGGAGGGAGTGTCATGCGAGAACCGAGGTAAAAAAAAAGGATTGCCTTCGATTCAAAGAAGAAAATAAAAAAAAAGAAAAAGGAGCGGCGAGCAAGAACTACGTCTGGAATTGTAGTGTAATTCCAGCGGTGTTTTTTTAAGAACCGCCATGCGCAAATAGCCGCGAATTTGGGGGCTGAGAATACCGCCGCTGGGTGGAGAGGGAAGAGTCATGCAAGGAA